AATATGGGCACTTTGATAGAGGCATTACAAACAGAAAAGTGTCAGATCTGGTGAGAAGAGAGAAACGAAGGCCACAGAAAATAAAATGACTGACATCATTTGTTTGTTTGGTTTTATTTTCTTGTTTTCTAAATTAAACATGGAACGCCTCGGTATTCCCCCGGAGGAGCTGGAGGAAGTGTCTGGGGAGAGGGAAGTCTGGGCATCTTTGCTTAAACTGCTGCCCCCGCGACCCGGCCCCGGATAAGCGGAAGAAAATGGATGGATGGATGGATGGACTTCCCAGCATGCATTGCGTGAGAGCTATAACTCTCCAGTTACTCATTCTTTCCACACAAACCCATTCATGGTGGAAACTTACTCTGTGTCTGTAATACATATTAAAATGACTCTAGGTCCATATTATTTTATTATTTAAATAAGATAAATATGCAAACCATGGTGGAGGTTTGTGTTGAATTCAGTATCTACATTTAGTAACAAAGCCCAGAGACACGATGCCTTTGTACCTACATGCTACAAAATGGCTTTAACAGCTGCACCTGCTTTTCATGTCAAATAAAGAATGGATTTTTGTGAAAATATATATTTATATATATACACTTAAAATGATCTGTTTTATCAATTTTATAAAGGGAAAATCCCTGGGCTTTAAATGTAAATTTTTTAATATGAAAAACCTTTTAAATGCACAAAATTTCATTTAAAATTAAAAAAATAAAACAAAAATAAGATTATGCAAAATTAAAGCATTTTTAGAGGATGGTTATTTTTCATAATTTCTGACACCCCAGCTGCCAGAAAATAACAGTTATTACTTAGTTTCTTTTTACAGTGTACATAACGAAGAACACCAGTGCTCATCATAAAGGTACAGGCCTTAAAAAAACAACAACAGACAAATATATAAACAACCGTGTAGCTTTTGTTTCCTCCTGCAGGTTCTACGAGTGTGTAGGAGTCACATGTTAATCTACAATCATTTCTAAAAGCATCCTCAGTACTTTTGGGAAACACCTCTTAAGCTTCAGGAGGTTGACAAGATGGATTTTGCAATCACTTTAGCCTTAAGGTGCTTCTGGGAAATGAGGCTCCGAAGTGTTATAAGGGGAGCCAAAGCTGTCTGATCTGTCTCTAATCTCTCTCTGTTTCTCACTTCTCTCAGACATTGAATTGTGGTCCAAGCTGCCTCTGCCACAGTACATCATTTTCAAAAACTATACATCTACAGTCCTGTATGGAAAACACAACAAATCTCAGTGATGTTGCTGCCTCTTACTGATGGCACTGTTGTGTAATTTAGCTAAAACATTGCAGTGGCTCTATAATGAATGTGGACAAATTCTGAGTCACTATCACTAAAAGGGGCCATAAAGCCTTAGTAAATAAACCCCTTAATATATACGTATATTAATGAGTGATCAGGTATAATGACTGTGTGTGTGTGTGTGTTGTGCAGAGAGCCAAAGGCCAGCAATGACGTGGTGGAAGTGACCCTGCAGACAGAGCCACAGGTGATTCTCAGATGTGGGCCAACACCAGTTTGTCTACTTACACCTTGCTATTAATAATGCAGAACATGTTATTGAACAATCATTAATGATGCATGATTTATTCAGTACTGAACTGTTCATAAGACTGTATCAAAAGTAATGAAAGCATGAAGCTCACTGGAGACTGACACTGACATCCTTGTTTATTCTGGATGCATTTTTAGCAGTTTAAAAGCATTCTGGAGGCTGTTTTTGTGCCTGAAGCGCCTTGTTTGCTTTCTTTTTTTTTGAGCCTGGAGTGTTTCAAATTGAAAATGCTCCTACTTTGATTATTCTAAAGCAAAAACCTCCCTCCCTTCCTGAACCAGATAAAAAGCCTTTCTTCTGTTAAATCTGGTGGTCAGAGGTAAAACGGAAGCAGGTATTTCTGCACACCGTGTTTCTTAGACAGAGACCATCATTACAAAATCAGCCACAACAGTCTTACCTTGTTACAGTGACAACTACAGATCTAAATGACTGAATTTACAGAGGATTTTCTGAAAATAATGTGATGCATTGGATTCCTCTACCCCCTGAAAGTCAACTAGTTGAATAGATAGCTGAGAGACCTGTCAATAGACTGAGACTCTTCTATTCAATTCCCACTTCAACAGTGATGCATGGAAGTATAAGGTCCTGCCGCCCAGAACGAGGAGAAAAAGACAACAAAATCCACCGGCAGAAAAGACTTTAACAACTGCAACGATGTGGCTGGTTTTACATGCGCATCCAGGTTGTTTACCCATCTCTTTTTTTTTTATATATTATATTTTTTAGCATTGGAAGTTGTCACACATCAAACACAACAACATGACTGAGAAGCTCAAACTTGTTGGTAAACTCAGCTATAACCACGTATCAGAAGCAAAAAAACTTTCCATAAGCGCATCGTTTCAACAGAAATCCAAGTGTGCTGCCTGTCTCGTTGTTCGACAAATCACCATAGGTTTCTCTAATATATCTTCACATTTTCAAAACAAGAGAAGAGATGGTTCAGTTAGGAGGGTCAACACTAACACGTGTAAGAACTGGCAGAGGTGATAAACAGTAAGCTCTCCATGAACAACAAAAACAACTAAAAATGTTTTATAAAATTATTTTATTAGAAAAGACTGAATACAGAATTTCTAACCTTTTCTTTGTTTAACTATTTTTGCTGGAGAGTGACTGTTTTACAGAATTGCACACTTAAATTTTTGTCATCACAACATCACACGTTGCCTAAAGTGCCACAGCTGAAGCATGACGAGCTTGAACGTTGCACGTCCTTTAATGGTGAAATCGCATTACAAATGTCATGGTTTTATTCATGTGCATTTAAATGTAAATGAAGGTGTCAACCAAAATTCTTGTTGCACATTTTTTCCCACTGTTGTGTAGTTTGAAAAGTTGTCTCCACAGGATCCTATCAATTCCTTAAGCCCTGGGCTGTTGCTACAGTACATCTCCAAGCAGAAAGCATGACTGAATGACTCTTTAAGTTTGTGACGCGTTTCCTACATGACATCCATTAAATTCTGCAAAAGTCACAGCTCATGAAGTCCTGACACATCAGACTTTCTTTGCCATGCTCAGTTATCAAGACATTCTCCAGTAGTGATCAACAACCCAAAAGATAATTGCTGCTTTTCATTTCCACACGAACATACGGCCGTTGCAACCAGTCTGCTAACAAATCTGCTGGCATGAAAATCCAAATGTCATTCAGTGACTCAGCCAGTCAGAATAAAGAAAACAGTGACTGGGACAAGTGTCTCTTTGGGAAGTGTCTGAACGCTTTCTGATGTATATGCATTATGTACATTTCCCCTTTATGTCATTTTAAGCATGTACATAGGCCTACATGTGTACACTCTAGGAAAACACAAATATATATGCCAAAAATACATGTTATCAAAAAGCACAATACAGTACTGGTGGTTCAGGGTTGTTTTTTTTAACTTATTTTTCATTTAAATTTATCCATCTATTTTATTTTTTCTTTCTTTACTCCCCTCTCTCCTTTTTTATTTATTACCAGATTCCATACTGACACACCTTCACACACCTACATCCATGTTCAGTGTTTTGTCTTGTTA